ATTAAAGTTGACAATTAGTATTTTACCAAGCGTGATTCCAACTAGACTTGTATTTAGTTAACAATAGTTTATTTTTAATCAAACATATCGATTCAGCCTTAAGAAATATTTTTTTAAGGACAAAAAGACCTGTATCTTAAAATTTATCAGTCTTTTTGGGAAGCCATAATTAACATGTTGAATGCAAGCTACTATATTACCGTTTGTCGGCAAACTATGTTTCATTCCATGTGTCAAAAAACAACTTACACATTTCATCAAATTTGAATGTTTATCGAAATAAAGCTATCGAACAACAAAAAAACGAAGTGCAATAATACAATCATTGTATGAAATGACTAATTTTCTGTCTTATTGTTAACGTTTAATCAGTCTAGAACTAATCGAGTAATATAATATTTGCACTAGAGAGTAAACCAGATGTAGATAAGTGATCGAAAACAAAATGTTTCAAAAGACATCAGTTGATACAGACATACTATTCGAAGTTACATTAATATAACAGATTCTTCTAACTAAGTAACTGCCATTCCTGTGAAGCATTTTGAACCAATATATAATGTAGAATGACAATCAACTGAAGGTAAATAGAAGTAGCAATGTCAAATTCTATATCCAAAACTGATACACTTGCATCGGTCATAATTGATGAGCTATTATTAGGAATCAGAGACTATTTTACAATATGAATCAATGAGAACAAAGTCCTAACAATGATATACGAAGACATAAAGAATGTAGCAAGTATGTGAATTTGACTTTCATGGCCGCGTACAACACGTGCACATATTGAAACACTTTGAAGAAAAGAACTGTTGAAATCTTATGGAACAGCAACACAGAGAAAACTTTTTTTGTGTTCAAGACATTATAATATGAATAGCATATTCAAGAGGAAAACCTCCTTTCTTCCTATCCATTTTTAGTAAGAGAAAACAACATAAACACATAAGAGTGAATCAACGAAGTATACAGTAACACTGAAAAATAAATGAATCATTGGGCATGTCAATAATAAAAGGCAAGCCAATGGCAACAAACATTTGTCCACAAAACATGGAAAAAGGGCACCGTCAAGAGCTCATATTTGTGGGCAACAAATGAGTTTAAAAGCGACATGATATCTCAAGAGACTCTCCTGTTAGCAAGAACCGATGAAGGGTGTGGGTGTGGGTGTGGGTGGGTGTGTTTACATAAGTAAAGTGTATTCCAAGCATCATACGACGCGTTTCGACTGCTGCTTAGGAGTCATTGCACGAAAGCAGCGACCAAAATAGCATAACAGGTGCTCAATCGATATCTCAGATTTCCATGAAATTTTGTCCATATGTAGTCCCAAGTGAGATATGAAAACGCCTAAAATTTCAGCTTCTAAAACCGTTCCGTTGCTGAGATATTCAGTCCACAACAGAGGCACCCTCAGGTAAAAAATGAGTATGACCAATGTAGTACCCATGCATTGTATATTTCGCCATTTTTTTAAAATAATGTTTTCAGGGTGGAAATTTTGTGGGTATATATTATCATAGGTACCCTACATTTTGACACACTCAAAACGATTCTAAGTCGCGTTAAGCGATATAGCGAAATTTCATAGGTTCTATATATACTCTGTACATTGTGATCAGGATTTCTATCGCTTATGAGCGAATTATGAGCTGCCGCTTTGGAACTAAGTACTACTGCCCCTCAGCAATCAGCAGCATTTTTCAAAACCTTGGGCATTTGCTTTTGATCCGAACAAAAACCTTTTCTTGTGTATATATGAGCTAATTTGGATAAAAATTGGGATCCACTTCCAAACAAGCTACCCAGTCGTTATCATCAGGTTCTGCTCAGATTAAGATATTCTTGTAGAGAGCAAAGGTCTATGAATTTTGATGCAAGCCGTTTGAAAAAATATCGTTCCGTTCTCGAGATATTAAAAACTTATTGAAAAGCACTATGGTCAAAAAAGCAGTTTTTGGTGATTTTTTGTGAGGTTCATATCTCATCAAAAAGACATCCGTTTGACTTGAAATTTTTACTGTGCATATATATCAAGTTGATGTACATATCGTAAAAAAATTAGTTCAAACGAGTGTACTATTGATGAGTTGATCAGTACTACCGGACACACGACAAATTGGTCATTTATCTGTGTTTTGTGCATATACATATCTCATGCACGAATCATGTTAGAGAGCTGTAATTTCGGCTATAGAGAGATGTCATTGAGTGCGTACTCTGATAAAAAAATCAGCTCTTTAGATAGTTCCTATAGCTTAGGAGACTTACCACAAAATCATGATTTTGACGAAAATCACTACTTTGGCAGAGCTCGATCTCCCAAGAATTGGAGTGTATCGAAGTGGGGTTCGTATGATTTTAAAGTACACACTGAATACTACAAAGTTATGCAAGAATTAGTCTGGAATCTTGTAGAATGGTCTGCAGGGACTTATTGAAAAATACCCCAAAATGACCCTTTTTCATAGAAAATACACTCGAATTCGTTCAGAAATTAATAGAAAAGTTTCATTATATAAAATAAATTCTATCCAGTAAAAATCAGCATCTGATCCTCTATTAGCTGCCATAAAAAAAGCCCTTTGTAAATAAGAAAAATTTTTTTTTGAAAAATCTCTGTACCCCTAAAGAGCTTTTGATGAAAAGGCTTTTTTCGAAATCCTCGTACCCCCTACGGGTTTTTTCCCAATTTTTTTCTCACTTTTAAATGACTTCTTATGGAAGATAATAGAGGGTCATGTGCTGATTAATACTCGATAGAATTTATTTCATATAATGAAACTTTTCTATTAATTTCTGAACGAATTCGAGTGTATTTTCCATGAAAAAGGGATCATTTTTGGGTATTTTTCAATAAGTCTCCGCAAACCATTCTTCAAGATCCCAGACCAATTCTTGCATAATTTTGTAGTATTCAGTGTGTACTTTAAATGGCTACAAAACATTCAGCTTTTATAGTGCCCATGTCGAAGAGAACGAAAGAGAGAGAGAGAGAAAATGACCAAATTCCTTTTTGTGATTGGTAGAAAAACAAATCTCGGCGGAAAAAAAAATTGATCCCCAGTCGGAGAGTGACCTAGTATTTATTGACCCTTACATGGCCGATATTTGTTGCCCTTAGTGTCAATTTTGATTGAGTGTAATTGCTGAAGATCCCATTATCCTTAACTGATCAAAAGCAGTGATCAATGATTGACGATTGTTGTCATGAATATCAAAGTAGATAGTCACTCGTCAGTAATGATATGATCAGTTTATCTCATGCATTATCGGAGACACATCTGAGATACATCACAGATGACCACTGAACCGATAAATGATGATTGATCACCGAATAAAAGATATGATCAAGGTCAACGTCACACACTCCTGTGCATCGTCCAAGATATTATCTTTCCAATCACAAACAACAACAACAACAGCTAAATCGAATATTGAACTTGAACTTCATTTTCTTGTCCTTCTTCGATAAATTTATTGTGTTTCACGAGTGTACCCCGATGGATCTTTTAGCATAGAAATATCTGGTCTTTTTTTTATTGCTTCAAATTGATTTATTATTAGAGTTTTTTTTTGCTTTTGATCCATTGACATCAAATTAAAAATAAACCAAGAAATGGAAAGCGTCGTTTAGAAACGTTCGAATATGTCAATTGAAAAAACTTTTCTTTTTACTTTTTTAGAAAAACAATAAAAACAAAAACGTATATGAAGCTACCATGATATCTATATTTCATCACAGCAATGAGACTTGCCAAATGGCACTCGTAACAAAAAATTTCAAATAGTTTCGAAACAAAGTTGATTCTATACTGTTACTCGAAAGTAATGCAAGAAAGATTTCATAGTTGTGTGCCATTTTAGAAGAGCGTATCACGACCAGTTTCGTCCTTGCTCAAGACACTCCTCGTGTGGTTTAAGACATCTGAATCGATTACAAGAATCAATTCAACTATTTTCTACATAGCCGCATGAAAGCAAATTTTTGACGAAATGTAGAAATTTTAAGGAATACTACGACTCTAGTTTGGACCTTTTTGATAGGTCAATCCTCAGGTAGTTGTAGCACTCGACCATTTTATAGATTGAATTGAAAAACTTTTGACTACCCATATTTAATTTATAAACTTAAAGCAAAGCAGAGATGTTTAAAATGCATGAAAATTTATTATTATAAATGAGTAGATATTTGCTAAAATAGTAAAACAAGAACAATCATTTCGAGAAAGACATTAGCAAACAAACAAAACAAAAAACAAAAGTAAGTATGATGAAATCAAAATAAATAATAGAGTTCGACTGCCTAAGTAGTGTATATTTTAATGTTTAATCTAAACGAGAAAAATAGCTTGTTTTTCAAAGGACAACATGCGTTTTTGGAGCCTAGATACGAATTATATATGTTGATCATTGTCATACTATTGTCGAAGTTGCTGTTTTGACCAATCGAGATATAATAAAGTTACTAGTTTGGTGACTGTCAAGCAGTCCCTCACGGCATATTGAATCATTTGTTCGATCATACGTTGTTCTTTTATAGTTGGTATTGATGATACGAATGTATTTTTCAGATCAAGATGTCGACTCCAGTTACTTTTCCGTTGACTTTTATCGTGAAATTCTCCAAGTGCTAGAGCTATTGCCATTTGAAGTGACGATTTATGATTGAGATCCTTTAAGGATTCATTGGAATATGTATTAAATAAGTTGTCGATGTCCTATAATGAGCGATCATCTGTAGGTTGAAAATTTTTATTGTGCCAAATTTTAAATTGTTTTTGTATATCTATATCACGAATTTCATTGATTTGTGTTGATGAAAAAAGTCCACAAGAAATAAATTTTGTTAATTCATCTTTTGCACAACCCCATGAAAATATCGTATTGGAAGAATTTAAGATTGTTTTAAAAAGTGATTTTAACAGCCAAAACGATACGGATGATTTATGTGGTAAATTATCAGTACTAATTAATAAAACAATTGATTCATATTAAATCAACTCAATTTGAATTAATACTCGTTCGTTTGTAAAATAATCATCTTCTGTATCGATTGTATAGTTTGCTGTTTTCTTTGCGAAAGCAATAAGAGCATGTAAAAGCATAGTCGTTGTTAATTCATTTATATGATAGATTTTATAATGATTGAGTGGTGTAAATATTGGTAAAACACTTAAGTTGTTATTTAATTGACGTTGTCGAGCGTTGCGTCTCATATTTTTGTTAGAAGTCATGCTATTTTAAGTTACTAAGTAAAAAGAATTGAAATTACTTTCAATCATATAGAGAGATAGTTGATTCTTACTTTTAAATAAATTTATATTCAATGTGCCGATTGATAATAGAAAATTTTGAAGATAGATGCTGAATGTATGTGATCTAGAACACGAGAACCACATGAATGATAAGACGTTTCTGTTACAGAATATGTATATGAACAAAGGAAAAGATAAAATGATAAAATAAAACTATCCATAATTACAAAAAAAATGAAACAAATGTGTGCTACGTAGTATGGATCACTGTATATTTCCTCGATAATAACATTTGAAAAGGAATATATCATTGAAGATAGCCACGAATAACTGCAGACCTGCATAAAATAAAGAAAATTTTTCAAAAGTTCTATCATTCGGAAAGTATACTTTAGGAAATGTTATGATGTTCATGAAATGGAAACGAACATCTTTACTTGAAAATACTCTAATTTTGAACTAAGGTAAGACTCACTGTGTTACTTGATTCTTTCAGTAGCTTGTTATGCAGATATATGTTTTTCAATTTTGGAATGACCTTCATATTTGCTAATTGGCATAAATCCTGTCTGGTTTGTTGGACCGATTGAACTTGTTTGATATCAATCCGTTCCTTTTTTTTTCTTTTCAAAAAGTTCAATGGTCATCAGTCATTAAAAGATTTTGCAAATTAAAATGTATTATTCGATCATACATACTTTCTCAACGGATGGCTGTCATTGCAAGTTACCTGAATCGATAACTATCGACTTAAAATTTGCTTTTGTTTTATTTGTCAACGATGACTTTTTTGCTATTTGATTCATTTTCATTGTCCACGGTGGTTGACGATCTGGAGCATGCATTAGTTCAGCGCGATTTAAGACGATCTTTAATAACTGCACTTGTAATTTACCATCCATTATATATCGAATATTGTAAAGAGATTTTCTAGTATTTCGTTTGCACGTAACATTGAAAAGTTTCTTTTTCTTTTTCTTAATTACCTTGCCGTTTGATATATAGAAATGTACAATAATTCATCTATTTTCTCGTTTAAGCGGAAGTGTCGTTATACAATATATATAATATCTAGAATAGAAGTGATTATATGCATACGAATAGGGTTGTACGTAGAGGGTGTGGGAAAGGTAACCACAATACAAAGTTGTGCTTCGATTTTTCTGAGATTCGTGTCAAGTAGCTAAGTCTTAGTTCAAAATACCTAAAAAAATTTAGTTTTCTTCTCAAAATGTACTCGCATTCATTGAGTATACTTTACTGAATATCACAATGTTCAGGAAGTGGCAATGGAAATCAATGTGCGAGAGAAAATCTACGTTGAGAGAAAGCTAAAGGCTGTTATGCTACATAGTTAAGTATCGAAGAAATCAAGAGAACATTGATGGGGTCGAATTGACGAAGTTCAGACATACTTTTCGATTTCAATGTCAGTTTATTGACTACTGATGACGATAGAATGGAAAGAAAACATGTAATACTCAAATGTAGTGACATCGATAGATCAATATGTTGAATTAATGCCATGAGAACAGCGGATGAGTTCATTGAAATCATCCAGTTGTACTAGATACTCAGCATTGATAGTAATTGGAGTGTGAGCCAATGGATCCTTCATATTTCAATTTGTCGATGAAAGATTTTTCTGGATGAGGGATTCATGTGGATCTATTGATTTGAAATAAGAATAAGGGATCCTGTGGTTTTTTTGTTCCCAATGGGAACTAACCCATAATCTAGACCTGTGTCTGTTCTCGCTAATAGGAAGCGAACTCTTGTTCTTGTTTCGTTTTTCACTCCACTAGTATTGAACCAACAGTATTTGTATTCAAGAGAACGAAGGCTGGTTGTCTTACATAAATGGTTTTCATTGAATCCTAGTTTCCAATTCGCTATGAGTGTCTACAGCAAAACGACACAAAAAACATCTTTTCAGAGAACAGGTCTTTTAACTTATAGTGATGGAGCCATTTTGAGAAAGAAGACTAATCTTACTAGGAAAATAACGTTTTTCAAAGTCATACCATAGTATATCATTAGAAAGCATATAGCAAGCATAGTCATTCTACGGTGGCAACTTTCCATCATTCTTTTGATAATAATTACAACGATCGAGTAATGATTTACCAAAGGATGTTCTCCCTCAACCAGTACATGTCATGAATACTCAACATTTCGCACGTCTAGCAAGCATAGATTCATGTTCTAGCCCATATTTCATAGCCTTGCTTAGCAATGAAGAAGAATAATGAAATAGAGTTGTTCAAGTCTATTGTATCTTAGCAATGAGATAAAAAAATAAATAGAAATGAACTTGCGTGATTCCGGTGCACAATTTGAAAATGGTTCTGACGAAAGTCCCTCTAGTTTGACAGTAAGGAGATGCTGATTTGGAAAAGAAGACAATAAAATGATACCTGCTGCTAGGGATCGTCAACTTTTATACAGTGGTGTGAACAGAGAGAGACAGAGAAATTTTTTTTGTTCATCTGAATAGATATCATTGGGAATTGTCCATGCACATGTATAATGAACTGTGATAAGATCAAAGCAATCATTGCTCGATCGATTTTTGGAAGATGTATATCATGATTCAGATTTGATTCATCCATCATGATTGTGTGAATATCTACATTGATGTTGTAAATCCGCTCTTATTTGTCAAGTTCATCAATCAGAAGTGATTAACATCATATTTGAACAGTTGATTTGTCAAGATAATTCAACAAGGACGACATAGAGAGAGAGAGAGAGAGACAGAGAGAGAAAGAACAAAAGAGCCAATCGATCATCGAATGTCAAACAAACCAATTTCATTTTTATGGATCATATCTGGTTCAAAGTGTCCTACTTTCTTTTTTCGGTCTGTGCCATCTATAATAAAACTAATAAAAGAAAATGAAGCGTTTTCTTTTTCGTTTGAAGCTAATCAAATTCCAAATTTATTGGATACTTCGATCATGGTCATAATATGCATTCTCTCCATACGTAGGATATTGGTTTTAAACGTGATTATTAGAATTTTTTTTAATGTAAGATGCGTGACAAGTTACACTGACATTGTTTTCGATATGGTTCAATATTATCATTTTCTCATTCATATATGAGTGACTAGATTGAAAGATAACAGAAGATGACCTTCAAGGCATAAGCATCTGAATTTTCGTAGTGAGGTTTTTTCTAATTATTCAAGCATTGTCTAGACATGACATGATTCTGTCATCAATATTGCACAGACCAACTATTATTCATTTCTGAAAATAAGTCGCTTGGGCAGAATTCTTATAACTTTTGAAGGGAAAGTCATAGAGAGCTGCGGTTTTAACCGTTGGATAGAGAACATCAGGGCACATAAGTCTATGTAAAAACCGATGGTCAATCCATAAAAATACTCGTTATCTGCGTCGTCAAATTTGGATGAAAATTACATAAAATATGCATATTCTTGAGATTTAACCTCAGTATACAAGTGATTCACACATCAGATATACAGTAGACAGTGCCTCTGCATCATTTCAACTCAACAAAATAAAATGTTGAAGTTGCCCTTTTTGAAAGAGAAGGATTTCCTGTGAGAAAAAGGAAATTTCAGATTTCTAAATTTGAAGCTTATTTTAGCGATTTTCCACAAATTTATTAAAAAGTTATAAACACGTACCTTGTATAACAGATCTTTTTTTACATAGCCTTACGTGCCCTGATGTCCTCTATCCAACGGTGAAAATCCCAGGTTTCTATCATTTTCCTTTCAAAAGTTATAAGAATTCTGCCCAAGCGACTTATTTTCAGAAATGGATAATGGATGCAGATAGTATTACAGAGGAATTAATTTGGAAAGGAAGGCAGTTATGTTGATGACTTCATTCATACAAACAAACAGTATCATCAAGTGAACCAGCAGTTCCAGGAGAAGCTTTTGTTTTTGAAACCACATGACGATAACCACCGATTCGATGGAAAAAAAAAGAAGACATAGTACACATCAAAGTGAAGGAGATAATGAAACAAACATAAAGCACACTACCAACTTGCATAGAAGCCGTGAGCATTCATGTTCCTAGGCACTCGTCGCATTGATCTAAAGCGCGATACATCACGAAACCAAGGTACCATTGAAAGTGTTACTATTGGCCTTCTGGCAACTATTGACCACCAATTACCAAATAAAAACAATGCAAACTAATATGCATAGCAATTACACAAACGTTCATATAAAAAAAGTAATATCTCCGTCTAATTAGATAAGCAATGCACAATCGATCTGTCACCCACAACAAAACGTTTCGGGTGTGGGTGTGGGTGTGGTTGAAAAGCAATATTCACACCCATATCCACAACCACACCCACACCCACAACCACCAACACCCACACCCACACCCCACCCTTCCGGTGCTCTCTATTCAACTTTTATTGCTCTATCTAATGCTAGTTACCAATATATCAAATCCGACTGAAAAAATGCAGGATTTGACGTATATGTAACCAGCATCATATAGAACAATAAAAGTTTAGTAGAGAGCACCAAACGATTTGACAGGAACTGACGGTTCTTGACATTGTAATTGTAAATGAGTCATCTTTATCTTCTAAGGACAGGATTTGGGGCATGTCTATTTCAATGACTGCGACAGCCAAGTAATCGTTTACTATTTTCATTTTATTATTCATCGATGCTTTTATATAGTACAGACAACATACCTCAAAAAAAATACAAGTAACTCTATCTGTTTAACAATCTTTTATTGAAGAGGGAAATATATCGATAGTTTCAACTGTCTATTAAAAGAAATTAAAGCAGTTAGTTTTTTTTATCTGGAAATCGACAATAGATTATTCTTTGTGCGGAAATCAAAAGTGTATATATTGCAATATTTGTGAATCTTTTCTTCATATGTAACAACTGAAAGTTCATCTCTTGTTATCAAAGAACTAACTCACTTGGATAAGGATGATGAAGAGAATTTTATTTATTCTTTATTATCACTTATCAAGATGATCTATCTATGTAATCAATAAATGAATGAATAAATGATTGTAATATATATGAGACAAAGAACAATCCACATCATGATCAGTGGTGACCAATAAGAATACATGTGTTATTCAATGAAGTGATTTAGTGCATTGAGTTAAGATATATTTTGTTAAATATTTTGAAATAGAAGATTAAAATATCTCGAATTTCTATAATCATTTTAATTAAAATATTTTCTTTTCTTAGTACTGGAATATTTTCATTAATTTGTTATATCTGAATTTGTTTAGATTTTACTCGTTAGTGATGAATAATTTATATATTGTAAATTAAAGA